TTATTAATTGCTTTACTAGAACTTATATATATATATATACTAGTATTTGTCCATGTGCATTGTAGATAAAGTATTCTAAGTTATTTATATACATATAATAATGAAATTATAAGTTATCGTATTAAATTTTAAACACATAGTGTAACCAAAACTATTTTAAACATAGAGTATAAGTTATATTTATGCATACAATGTTAAAATTATAAGTGAGATAATGATATTATGTTTTAAAATTTGATCATTGGTTAAAATAAATAGCACTTAACTATTTGATTGCATAAATGCAATAAATAATGTAATACTTGTAATTTTGAAAGATCATGACCAATTAATTTGCTGAAAAATATTAAATCTATTATAACAGTTGCATATGCAATTTTAAGGGATTTTACTATGAAATTAAAACAAATTAATTATTTAAAAACAATTGCTTAATCAGATTAAAAATATAATATTGATTTTAGATAAAATATACACTAGTCACTCTCTGAGCCGCTTGGAACGAGGCGCGTTAGCGGTCCTGCGCAAACAGTATCTATGCTTGCATCTGCGATCTTTCTCCCTCCGGTCGTCAGGTCTTCATTGGATGCTCCTCTTTCTAGTGCTGGCCTTCTTGGGCAAAGAGTTCTTGGCCTGAAACCGGCTATGCTAGTAGGGTTAGGTTAGAAGCATTCCATATGCTTGCCCTAATCGAATGAGTGGCTACACTCTCCTTTCCCGAGGGGAGATAATATTCAACCCCGCATTCAACTCGGTAGATTCAGTATTATCGTATAAACAGTAAGCATCTTTGTTCGTTCTATACGCAATTAGATGATCCTAAAGCATAAGATAGTTCGTGTTAGAGAGTTATTATAATTCAAAGTGGTTTAGTGTCATCATTTCTTTCAGAACCTTTCTTTTTCAATCGTCAAGAGAAGAGTTTACTAGACAAGCGCCTAGGGTAAGTAGAGATGGTTGTAGGATAATCAATAAATAAACTGCTCTGATGAAAATAGATCTCTGATAGTTGTTTCCTGAATCGGAAAGAGAGTACTTGGGTTCTCCCAATAACTAAAAAGTGTAGCATGCCTGAATCTAACTGGGGTTCGCAGTGGTGGAGGAACTGGATCGGATGTCCATGGATTTAGGGCCATCTTGGGGCTAGCCAATTACTACTGAAAGTTTGTTAAGGGATATGTTTGCAATATTTTTGGGCAAGTAGTAACCGAGTTACCCGACTCGGGTCGTTCTCTAAGGAAGGTTAGCCGGATTAAATTGTACGTTTATTCAATTCACACAATAGAA